AGAATGCATCAAGACGAAGATGAAACAGATATAATTGAGAGGTAATACTCTGTGGTTGGATGTTCTATCTGACAAGCTAACGTTGGTAGATCGAAGTTGAACCCTGAAAAACGTCCCTCCTTGATGAATCAGGAGCCTGCAGATGCACACATGGACGCCAACTTGCTGGCTGGCATGGATAAGTCCTTCCCACTTAGCCCAACGACGGGTAATTCATCTCCCCTTGACCTTTCAATGAAACGAGACCATGAGCGCTGGTCGTCAATTGATCTGAGCCTAAGTCCTCCCAAGGATGAACACCAAACAATGCATTTTTCAGGAGACAATTCTTTTGTAACACGACCTGCGCATTTTCCTGGACAGCGTCGTGGCCAACGCCGAGCACCGGGGCTGTCGTTAGCTCAGCAAACACAAATCCCTCCCCCTGCTGATGTGTCCACGGATATTGCACCAATAGAAACAATCTCGCAGGCTCCTCTGTCCGATATGGACTACGGGTTCTCCAATGCACCTCAGACAAAGGCCGAGCAACAACGAATGGCACAGAGAAAGCCCGCTGCTGTGTCTTCCCCTTCTAGTTCTTTAGAGATTGGTCATATCTTAAACATCCTACACCAAGGAAGTAGTTCAGCAAAACGAGTTGAGACATTGGCTGAAAACATACAGCCAGGTTCGGACACTCAATCTGACACGGATCCAGTAGTCTTGACTAGACGTGATGCTTTGCAAATCATCAAGTTTATCACACAGAGCACAGACATTGCTCAGGCGGCGCCGTGTAAGGCTGAAAAAAGTCAGACGGCAGGCCTGAGAGTCTGTCCGCGTCCTGGATGCGGGTATGCCGTCAACCGGGATTGTGATTTACGGAAACATATGAAACGGCATGAGAGGCCCTATGGCTGTACGTATCCCAGGTGCCATAAGCGCTTTGGCGCGAAATCAGATTGGAAACGCCACGAAAATAGCCAACACTTCCAGCCTGAGGTGTTCCGATGTGCTTTTGAACTATCTCCCGGTGCGATTTGTGGAGTGTATTCACCTCAAAAGGAAGCATTCGAAATCCACTTGAAGACACATGGCGTTTCTTCTCCTGGAGCCGCAGAGATTCTCAACACACGCAGCAAGATTGGGAAGAATTGTCAAGGGTCCTTTTGGTGTGGCTTTTGTAAAGCTATCATTGAGCTCAAGACGAGGCTCAATGCGGCATGGGACGAACGATTCGATCACATAGCAGAGCACTTGGAACAAGACAACAAAAAGAGCATTGAGGAGTGGATATGTGTCGAGCAGAACAAAACCAAGAAGGAGTTGCTCGAGGAGAGGATGCGAAATGATGACGAAGATGAAGAGAGGGGAAAGAATAATGACTGCGATAATCCGCTTCCACCTCCGCCTCCCCCACTAGAACGCGGACCTTGGACCCCGACATCGACCGGTGCGGGCTTATCACAATCATTACCCTCATATTCTAGTAATGAGGGTAACAGAAAACGATCTGCACCTAACAATGCTGATGACCTGGATCCAAGAAGCAAGCAAAAAAGGAGAACGACTACTATTACGAACAGATATTGCGTATGTCCATGGCACACCACGTCCATACTTTATTGTTGATCGCTAATTGTAGAGCAGTGCTGTTGTCAAGGCGGACCATGCAGCTCACTTCAGCCTTCATGCCTAGACTGTGGCCATGAACTATGTTGGAATTGTAAGTTGATTATAGAGGAGTTTGCGATGGTGGATTCAATGGAACTCTATTAGTGGTGTTGGGCAGGGGCCCGGATGTTGATTTGCGGCGCTTTATTCCCCCTCAAAAACGATGGATAGATTTCTTTTACTGTTTTTTATTTATTTCCTCTATTCAAATGTAGACTCCAAAAATCGACTAGTGCTTTGATTTGATCAAGTGGCTCGTGGTCCATAATTAAGGGCAAGGGGGGAACATGCGGAGGTGTCAGGATAGCATGGGCGATGACATGCGTGTCGGCGAAACAAAGTGCCGAGGCGCGGAGTTGGAAACGTGTGCTCTATCACGATAGCTCTCATCGTTGACGCGGCCCATTGCGACCACCAACCACTCCTTGACCTCTCTCTTTTTTTTTCTGCTTTCACCTGCAAACATGGCTGCCGCCGTAGACGACGGGCAGTTCCTCAAGCAGGCGACTGGTCAAAACACTCGAGGCTTGCTGCGAGTGATTATCCTGTGCCTGATTGCGGGTGCGGCCGTGAGCAGCCGTCTGTTCTCAGTGATTCGCTTCGAGAGCATCATCCACGAATGTCAGTAGTGATGCAATTCGCATGCCACCCGGGCAATTGCATCGAGTCTGGGCTGACCAATTGACACAGTCGATCCCTGGTTCAATTTCAGGGCAACAAAGTATCTCGTTCAGCATGGCTTCTACAGCTTCTGGGACTGGTTCGACGACCGTACGCTCTTCTCCGTGCTGCAAGTAACTCAGAACAACAACACAGACTGACACGATATCACAGGAACATGGCACCCGCTGGGCCGAGTTACTGGTGGCACTCTCTACCCCGGATTGATGGTCACCAGCGGCGTCATCTACCACTTCCTCCGCGCCATTGCCCTCCCCGTCGACATTCGTAACATCTGTGTCCTCCTGGCCCCCGCCTTCTCCGGCCTCACTGCGCTGGCTACATACCTCCTGACATCGGAAATGGTACCCTCGCCCTCGGCTGGTCTGCTTGCGGCCGCCTTCATGGGCATCTCACCCGGTTACATTTCGCGATCCGTGGCCGGAAGTTACGACAACGAGGCCATTGCCATCTTCCTTCTCGTCTTTACCTTCTTCCTGTGGATTAAGGCTGTCAAGATTGGTTCCATATTCTGGGGTGCATTGACTGCCCTGTTCTACGGATACATGGTGTCAGCGTGGGGTGGATACGTCTTCATCACAAACTTGTTGCCTCTGCACGCTTTCGTCCTCATCTGTATGGGACGATACAGCCCGAGGCTGTACGTCAGCTACACTTCGTGGTACGCCCTGGGCACGCTTGCGAGTATGCAGATTCCCTTTGTCGGTTTCCTGCCCATCCGCAGTAGCGAGCACATGTCGGCTCTTGGTGTCTTTGGTCTCCTCCAGCTTGTCGCATTCGTCGACTGGGTCCGCGCACAACTTCCAGGCAAGCAGTTCCAGACGCTTCTTCGCGCACTGGTTCTGGGTGTCTTCGTCATTGGCGTCGGAGGTCTGGTGCTTTTGACCGTCTCAGGTGTCATCGCGCCCTGGACTGGCCGTTTCTACTCGCTCTGGGACACTGGATACGCCAAGATCCACATTCCCATTATCGCATCCGTCTCCGAGCACCAGCCTACTGCCTGGCCCGCGTTCTTCTTCGATCTCAACATGATGATCTGGCTCTTCCCGGCTGGTGTCTACCTGTGCTTCCGCACTTTGACCGACGAGCAAGTCTTCATTGTCATCTACGCTGTCCTTGCCAGTTACTTTGCTGGTGTCATGGTCCGTCTCATGCTTACTCTGACTCCCATTGTTTGTGTTGCATCTGCCATTGCCTTTTCCCAGATCCTTGACACCTTCCTGGACGCCAAGACGCCCAAGCCCAAGACCGAGAAGGAGAGTGCCGATGTGGCTTCAGTTGCAGCGGCAGCAGTGCTCCCAGACGGCCTCCGATCCACCCGCAGCCCCTGGGTTGGTATTTACTCATATGCCTCCAAGCTCACTGTTGTCGGTTCCTCCGCCATCTACCTTGTGATTTTTGTTCTTCACTGCACTTGGGTCACCTCAAATGCGTACTCGTCGCCCTCAGTCGTGCTCGCGTCCCGTACCCCCGATGGTCACCAACACATCATTGATGATTACCGTGAGGCGTACTACTGGCTCAGGCAGAACACTCCCCAAGATGCAAAGGTCATGGCGTGGTGGGATTATGGTTACCAGATTGGTGGCATGGCTGACCGCCCTACGCTCGTTGACAACAACACGTGGAACAACACACACATTGCTACCGTTGGTAAGGCCATGAGCTCCAGCGAGGAGGTCAGCTACCCGATTATGCGCCAGCATGAAGTTGACTACGTCTTGGTGGTCTTTGGTGGTCTTCTTGGCTACTCCGGAGACGACATCAACAAGTTCTTGTGGATGGTCAGGATTGCCGAGGGTATCTGGCCCGAGGAGGTCAAGGAGCGCAGCTTCTTCACATCGCGAGGTGAATACCGTGTTGACGAACAAGCTACACCAGCCATGAAGAACAGTTTGATGTAAGTTGCCTGGCTCATGGTTTTGAATATTACATACTGACTGCTTCCCCAGGTACAAAATGTCATACTACAACTACAATGCGCTTTTCCCTGCAGGTCAAGCACAGGACCGTGTCCGTAACGCGCGTCTGCCTGCTCAAGGTCCGGAGCTTAGCACCATTGAGGAGGCCTTCACCAGTGAGAACTGGATCATCAGGATTTACAAGGTCAAGGACCTCGACAACTTTGGTCGTGACCACCAAAGCGCGGTTTCCTTTGACAAGGGCCACAAGAAGAAGCGCTCTACAAAGAGGAAGGGTCCCAGGGTACTGAGAGTGGAGTAGGTGGTCCAAAAAAAACGTAAGAACTTTGATAGAAACTTAGTTACTGTATAACATAACACACTTCTGGCATGATTCGCAGGGCGGGCGTTTGGCAGGAATAAAAAATATTAGCCACCAGTTTCCGAAATGGCCAGGTGAATTGTATCAGTTGGAGTTGGGTCTCAATTGACGTACACGTTTTGTATTGTGCACGCGGTCTTCACCACATTGTCTTTCACTCCTCATTTCCCCTCACCGGGCAGATTAAATTTGATTGGGTCATCCACACTTTCTCTTACTCTCACCACTCACTCTAAAGTTTCTGCCTGATTCTCTTTCTGCTTTGCTTTGCTGTATCGTGCTTTCCGTGCCGCGCAGGCTTGACTTGCATTGGTTGCAACTGCTCAACGATATTTCCTTACTCCTCAACCTGCACAGGCGCACCTGCCACGGAGCACCAGATGGCGAACGAAGAACAGAGAAGAGCTTTCGAGTCGTATATGGGCCGCGCGAATAGCGACAACGGGCAAGTTCAGAATCCAAGCCAGCCTCTTCCTCAGTATCCTGGATCAGTTGCTCAGCCGGGCAATCCGTATCTTTATCAAGTGTAAGTGGACCTCTATATTTTGGTACTGAAGATTGACTAACAAGCGACTGTAGGAGTTGTTGTCATGGACTTCCTGGTCTGGTATCATACAGTATCACTGCTCACACACAAGTAGCAATTCCCTGGGCTCGGAGTGCCCCCTGCAGCGCCGACGCCGCCACCGGCAGCCTCGTCTTCTGTCGCTTCGTTTCCAGGGTACCAAGGCGGATATTCTCAACAAAACTATGGGCTAGCGTTATACGGTCCAAACGGTATTCCGCGACGTCCGCCGCCACTAGGTGATCCTCAAGCACAGCAACAGCAAGGGCAGCAACATACGCCAACTGGAAGCGTATTCCAAGGACACGTTCAAAGGTCTGAAAGCTATAGCATACAGCCTCCGCCCCCATTGAGCCATAGCGGGTGGCCATACAACCATCCAGATAGCGGAATGGCCAGTCGTCACGATGGTCCAATCGTAGGTGCCGTCATCCCAGCATCTCGCAGCCACACTCAAGAGATGGTACGATCAAGTTCGAGACACAGGAGGGAAGAGTATCATTATCATAGTCGTGACTCGGCTCAGGTGGCTCAAGCGCCGCTAGTAGAAGAAGTGGTCGTGCCAGTTATGCTCTGTCATACCTGCAGTCACTGTGGTCAGATGCGCTCTGCAGGCTTCCATCGAAATAACCCAGTAGTCCCCGGCAGGCCTTTGGTTTCTACGCCGTGCCGCAGATGCAAGAAGAAACTCGACAACTTCTATCGGTCGAGCAGTCGTTATACTCGCATTCGCAAGTGCACAGCCGACGAGCCCTGCGATTGGCCTAGCGAGCCATTCCGAGTCGACGCTGGACAAGATGAGTCTAGAGGTAGACGAAGAAGTAGAGAGGAGGTTTGTATGAACAGATACTCTCCAAGTCGACCCCGGGTGTTAAGACGCGAATCCAGCGTAGCACATCTGGGTTTAGGAGCATTCCAGCAGGCATCAAGAAACGAACGAGTAGCTCGGAGATCCTCATCTAGTCCTGGCCATTCTACCAGGTACACTGGCGGGGTGTGGCCCCCACCTGACATTGTACGCATGGAGCGAAAGCGGGTTGATGATGCGTTCTCTATACCATTTGGGCCACCTTTAGGCTATGCAGCGAAGTCAGACGAAGTATGGCCTCCTCCAGACATTGTTCGGACCCATTTGTATAGGGACGTGGAGAGGAAATCACTACGTCGGCAGAGTTCTAGGATTATCGAACTCAGTCCTTCTCCTTCTCCTCCGCCCTCTCGGCAAAGATCAACCAGAGTCGTCTATCGTAGCGATTCGCAAGAACACCGACGTAGAAGTACAAGCATATCACCTTCTCGCGTCAGATCTCGCGGAGAAAGGCGAAGTGAAGAAGCAGAATCTCGTCTCACAACACACACCCTGCCATTTCGAACAGTCATTTCAGACCGCCAACGTACCTCTTTCCGCGCGTCGGACGAGACTTGTAGCAATGCTGATTCGGTACCCCGTCAACCTCCAGAATCACCAACTTATAGCATCTTGAAACCTGGCAACCCTGACCATCACGACACGACATCCCAACGACGAGCCAGCATGCGCGCAAGCGAGCAAAGCGTGCACGTCGAGGTTGAAGGACCCCCTCGTGTCCGATTCAGCGGCGAGCGAAGAGAGAAACTGTCAGACCTGGAACCGACCCGAAGATCAAGATACAAAGATGAACATGAATCCAGCAAAGAGAAGTCCGAGTATTACCGTGACCATTCTCGTGATCGCGTACAGTACAAACCCCGACCTCGACCACGCCCAAACCAAGACTTTGAAAAAGTCCAAACGAGGTATTGCTCTCCAGTACGTGATAGAGACTATGAAGAAGAAATCCGAGTGGACAAGCAACGTCGTATCTCGCCTTCCCCATCTCCTCCCCCAAGAAGAAGCAGAGAGTACGAGGAGATCCGCGTACGACACGTTTCTCCTCTACCCACTCGCCGCTCATCTCATCAGCACTCCGATCGTGCCACCTCACCCCCACTACCGCCTATATACCGCCATGTCTCGCGCACCGCGGCATTAGATGGCAAACGCTCGGTCACATCTCCCCCACCTCCTCCGCCTGCGGACTCTAGAGACGAAGACCACACGGATTGCAGTAGTGCGGGTGAGGGCGATGTAACGCTGGTGACGAGGTTGTGGAAGGGCATCGATGAAAATGGGAGGCCGGCGACGTTTGTGGAGGAGAGGAGGGAGGTCAAGATGCTTGCGGAGGGGAGTGAGCGGGGTGGTGTTGCGAGTGGGTATCGGGATTTGGGGTATGGGAAGCGGGTTGGTGGTGCTGGGAAGGTGTGGAGGGATGTTTGAATAGATGGGGGATTGCAAATGTCGGGGACTGGACTGGAGACGGGAGGGAAGTTTATGGTGGTTTTAGCTGTATTCTAAGAAGAAGAAAAAAACACAGGGTTCATCATGGTTTTAATTTTCTTTTCCAATTGTATCAAGTCTCTCAAGTGAATAAGAAAGAAAGAAAAAACGAACTGGGCACCTACTACCCTTCACACCGTATCCAAAACCCGACTCTGCAACGAACACAAATCGACAACCATAGCTACACCTGCTACCTCGTTTGCACTCTCCTCCAGGCGCTCCTTGACAAGAGCTTCGGTCGCAGCATCAGCCTCGGCTGCCACCTTGGCCCACGCCGCGGCCTCCTTGGAACCGCCAGCAGAAGGCAACAAGTGGCTTTCGCCCGAGAGCCGTACCAGGGCTTCCTGTGCGTCTTGGTCTGCGGCGGCGAGGTGGGCGGCGAGGTGGACCGTGCGCTGGGTGAGTGCGCGCTCGGTGGTTGCAATGTGTGCGAGGGGAGGGAGGTAAGGGAAGAGTTTGGATATGGGGTTAATTGGTTTCGAAGAGGTAGATACCGTGTTTGCGTTTACGGGCGTTGGTGGAGAGACGGCGTTGTTGTCGTTTGTCGAAGAGTCGTTTTCTTCTGCATTTGGTGCTGGTGCAGGGTTCTGGAGACTGAGATGCGCTTCTAGGAGATTGGCTCGGGCGGCGGTGTATTTGTCGTATGATGCTTGGATTTTTGCTGTTGCTGAGGCACGGTCGATTGCGGAATGGGTTGTGTCGGGTGCAGCAGCTGCAGTGCCGTTCCTGACTGGACGCTTGATGGGTGAGGCGTCTTCGAGGAAAATGCTTTCTTCCTCGAGCTTGGCCAGTTCCCCCTGTATCCAGTCTACAAGTTCATTTCTTGCTTGTTCGAGAGCGTAGACTTGTGATTGGAGAGTTGTCGACGGGGCACTGGGTGCTGTGTCTTGTGCTTTTGTTTTGGCGGCTTGAGCTCGCTCCATGCTTGCTCTTGCCTCCAGAACTTCTTGCTTCAGTTTGAAAATCGATACTTGGTCGTCTTCGGCCTGGAAAAGATTATCCAGACGCTCTGCAGGGACATCAGGTTGCTCGCCAATTGCGCGCTTGACTAAATCTCGGGGATCTGAGGAGGGCGTGGAGGGCTTTGCGCTGAGAAGTTTTTCCAGAGATTCTTGAATGACCTGAAGCTCTGCATGCCGGCGGCGCTGCCGTAGTAGAAAAACATAACCTTGGGTGACATTGTCGTCGTGCTCGGGTTCCGGTTGGGTGGGATTGTCGTCCACGTGACGAGCCCGTAGCTGTTCTAGCGAAGCCTGGAGCTCATTGTGTTTTGCCTGTGCTTTGGCGCGAGCCCGAAGCGCTTGAAGGTATTCAAGACGACTATCCTTCAGGCCGGGAGGATTCGTGTTGGCTGCAGACAGGTTCTGAGGACACTCATGGTTCAGGTGCTGGAGTTGGGTTGATGCATTGACTGGCCGCAGGGTGGATGTCAAGTATTTTGATAGCGTACGTCGAATGCGTAGTGTATCTTGGCGAGAATTGACGTAGGCGGACAATGCTCGGTCAACCTCTGAAATCGGGCACGCCGTCTGGGCTGGCATTGTACTCGAGTTTGGTCAAAGCCCCGGAGTGGGGATTGACGTAGTGGTGGAAATGACAGAGGAGGGAGAGAATGCTATTCGAGGAGTTGTATGCGGCTGAGTAGCCACGGCCGCAGCTTTGACCTGTGTCACGATGCTTTTCAACTTGGGTTTGCGGTATTAGGACAACGCAACGACTGGCGGTGTTTAGGTGGGTTGGCGGGGCTAGGCCGTGATTGGCTGAGCGTGTCCTGCTAGCGCAGATCACGAAAACACGTGCTTTGGGGCTTGGCGCATGTGCATAGAACGATTGCTTGAGCATTGATGGCGGGCAAAAGCATAAACGCAGAAAAAGGCCCGAGTTGTGCTTTTTGGTGGGCGAACGCAAAGAGGGGAATGCATATGAGTGGGAAGAGGGAGGGTCGAGCTAGTTTTCCGGTGGCGCGGTTGCTTTGGGGTGTTCGCTCGTTATTACCAGGAGGGTATTCACAGATGGAAGAGCTTTGGCTGTCACGCACTACAAGGGCCGGTGTTGGGCCATGGTGCACCCTATGTGGACAAGATGGGCAGCAAGAGCTGAGAGCTGACTGTTGTTTCTAGCACTACACCGAGGCAGGAAAGGCACCGGCAGATGTTCTCAGGGGATGTGATGCACTTGACGCCGTTGTCACACAAGTGACCGGCATCGAGTCAGCTATGCGCCATATGTACACAAGTATGGAGCGATGTGGCTGCGGTGTGGCTGCGATGAGGCTGCCTTTACCGGGGTGCTACTCCATCAACCTGTGACTGCGTATGTGTTACATGGAAGCGTGTTAGCGTAGATACAAGGAGACGATAGCGCGTGATGGCCATGGCCCATAAGCTAGACGTGTTTGCAGATGGCAGCCCCACAGACGTAAGCTGCTGGTAGAGATAACGCGGTACAGGGACATGTACCATGCATAGGGCACGATGTGATGTCACATGTCACTACAACTACCTCCGGCACTCAGCAGCGATGGGATGGCGAGGAATGAAATTGACAGCGGAAATGCGGCTTATAGGCAGCCGGAAGCAGAGAAGAGAGAGGTAGATACGAGACAACGGCCCTTTGGACTCGGGAGCTAGTGTGATCAGCAGCAGACAATGTAAGTACAGCAGGGCCCGTGACAAGTTCGATGAGGCATTGCGCGGAATTGCTTTGCGTGGGCGAGGCTAGGACATGGCCGTCTGCGTCAATGAGGGAGGGGGGCGTCCGAGGGGGGCGACGTGCTCTCAGACACGAGGCGGTGGATGATGCAAAAAGTGGACAACGCATCACGCCGGGTGCACCAATTGCAGCGGGCAGCGAGGGCAGGCGGCGGGGAAAATTCAGACGGCCGGGGGTTGGGTGTGCTGGCGACTAGCAAGTACAGTAGTAGCAGTAGCAGTAGCAGTAGCAGTAGCAGCAGAGCAGCGATGCGAAACGGAGGCACTGGTGGGCTGCAGGGCGAGCGAGCAGGAGGGAGAGGGATAGGGCACAGGGCGTTGTGGCAGGCCGCTTGGCGCGACAGGGGTTGCAGCGAGGCATGGCATGGACACAGGCGGTGGGATGCCATGGCATAGGCCTGATGGGCGGTTTATTTCGCTAGGCCCCAAACGAGCATCAACTGCCCTGTCTCGCCTCTCTCCTTTCCCGCCCGCCACCAGTGATAGCACTCTCGCGGCGGCCAAAAGCAGTCGCGGACATCTTGCGCCCGCCCGCCGTTTTCTTTTTTTTGCTTGCTACTTACATTTCCACACTCCGCGAGCCACCAAAAAGTAATCCGGTACTGGCCCCAAATAGTCCAGGTCCCTGCGTCTGCACTGTACCGCATCGCACCGCACCGCCCCAGGCCGCGTCGCGCGCCGCCCTCAGTGATTATCTCCCGGGCAGGGGCTCAAAGTAAATACTCCGGCACACCACCCACCCTCACACCACCCGAGAGGCCAGGCCGCCCGCCCTTCCTCACCATGCCTTTCTTCAAGAATGTCTTCAATTCAAAGGACAAGCAAAAGTCAAAGACGGCTCCCGAGCCCGCCGCTCCCCCCAAACCTCGCTGGGAAGAGTCATGGACGCGCAAAGAGGTGGCTCCAGAAGAGATCCAGGAGCTCGTCCATGTCTGCACACAGGAAATAAAGTCGAGGGGTAAGTCGACGCTGCGAATTGGCTCCTGTCCAGCCCCAACTGACCCGCACTCCAGCCCTGGACATGCCCTTCATGCTACTGCCCTTTCGCCCCACCTCAGACACAAGCGCCTCGCGCAACTTCATTCGCAACTTCTTCAAGGCTGCCTATGAAGAAACAGGCCAATATTCGGGCGAGCGCCTGGCACAAGAATTGCGTCTGACCGAGCCCTTGGTACACTACCCCACCACCTCCCCCTCCCCTCTCCCCCCCAAAGACAGTGCTCCGTACTGACCCATACAGACGCTCTGCAGTATTATCAAATGGTGCTGGAGCAGGTTGCCCGGCGGCGTAGTCACCTGGGACGCTTATGAGCTCTTCCGCATTGGCGAGTCTGGTGAGTTCTCGAACATAACCTCTCCTTCACCCTTCCTCGCTTGCTGACTCGATGCATCTAGATTCAAACTTTGCCCGACATTCTTTCGACACGTTTATCCCTATGAGCGTCGAGTCCGAGTCACGCAAGAGCATAATCTTCGACTTCTTTGACCTATTGTCTTCTGTGGCTGCCCGAGGCAAGACTAATGGCATGGGTGGTAGAAAGCTTTCTCGTCTTGCAGGCTGGTGGGCATTCGAGTTCCATGAAGATAACAAGGGTTTCGACGGAGGTTACCGCACATGGGAGAAGTAAGCGCGCAGGCTGCACTTGACCCCTCCAAAAAAGAAAGAAAGAATAAACTGACTCGTCTCTAGGGCTGCAGATGCAGCAAGTCATCTCTTCTTCGCCTATCTGCGATCGCTTTCACCAGACACAAATGTGGTCGGAGCCATATCCGCCCTACCACGGTCCCTTCAAGCCCTACTCTCCCAGACTGAATATCCTCCCCAGGTACCCACCCTGATGCAGACGCGCACGACCAAGGTGGTCATGATCGTAGACTCGGTTTCGCCTACGCCATTTGCCCTACTCCGCCGCGCAAAACACTTCGAGTACCGAGACGATGACCGAGCCTTGCAGAAGTTTTCAGAGTACGAGGATACAGTCAAGGCTCTGACTGATGAGTGTCGCAGAGTGCTCGAGTGCATTTCAACCGCCAACCAGTCTAACGTAGCAAGTTTGACAGACCCCACTACACCAGACCCCTCGTGGTCCCGCTTCGAGGACTTTGGATTCGCAGGCATCTTGGATAATCCCGGCACCACCAACGGATCCTCGCTAGGTGGCGGTCCAAGCGACTTTTCTACCTTTGGACCTGCTGCACGCACAAAGAATGCCGACTTTGGTCGCCCTACCACTCCTTCGTGGGCAGATTTCCTGTCTTCTGGGTTCGCAGACGAGAACAATAAATCTCCACCAACCACTCTCCTCATGCCGAACCAGAAGCTCCCGCCCCTGGGTGAACATCGTGTGCACAGCTCGCAATCCCACATGCGCAATGGCCTCAAGGAAGACGATCTTGATCCTGGTGAATTGGCTAGTATCACCAAATTCGAACTCGACGAAACGTTTTGGTGGGTATGGATGATCAGCTTGGCTTCTGAGGAGACCGCGGATCGCAAAGCCGCCTTCGGTCGATGCACATTGATCGAGACACGCATCCAAGGCGCAAAGTGGCTGGTCATGGAGGAGCAAGTCAAGGGTGCCTCGGATGGTCCTGAGGAAGGCGCGTACATTGTGGAGAAGAAATCAAAGTTCAGTTTCACAAAACGTGGGCGACTTGGTCGGCGCAAGTCAACCGGCAAGAAGCCATCTCTTAAGGAACCCTATAACCGCTCTACCAACGACACTCCCATGAGCAAGACTAGCATCGGACCAGACCAGCACGCGAGAATCCAGGCTGCAGCTGCAAAGTTGGCCCAAGGTGAGCGAGACGAGAAAGACGCAAGGGAACTCGCCCAGCGTCGAGGACGCCACGATGACACCACATCTGTCAAGACAAACAGCGTACTGACCCTACAGCCGCACTTGGTTAACGAGGCCGGTCCAGCTATGAAATGGGACAAGAAATTTGGCGAGGCTGCGCTCGATCGCGACGCCCTCCGTGCACAGTACCTGGGTGATACTAGTGCTGGTAAAGGGTCAAAGAACAACTTGCACTTGACTGCCAACGGGCGCACGTCACCGATGCCTTCGAATGCATCGAACCGCGAACTGCCTCCTCTACCTAAGTCAGAGAAGGATCCCGACGAATCCGTCACGCCAGTGCCTTGGCCAGACTCGCCGATTCAGTCACCCCGTGCTCCGGTCAAGTCATACCAACCAGCATCTGCTCCAGAGAAGACATTGTCTCCCGAAGAGGTGCCTCTTCCTGATGACAAGTCGGCACAGGCATCTACGACTCCCAGCCAGCATCCTGCTCTGAGGAAAGCAGTAGCCTCCCAACCTAAAGATCGTGTCAGTGAGGACAAGGGGGCCGTGCCTGAAAAGAAGCACTCGCCGGCCAAGCTCAAGAAGAAGGAAGGAGGCTTCCGAAAGCTGTTTGGTAGGAAGAAGACGGAGACACCAGCAGCTGGCCAGCCCGCGGATGACTCTTACTTCCCACCGGATGCTGTTCGTAGCGAGTCTCGAGTTGATGACCGCCAAGCTAGCGCACGAGTGCCATCTCCAACATACACTGATGAACAGCCCGAGCCTGTACGCGCTCCGTCACCAAAGTTTGATCCTAGCCCTGCCGACTCGTCTACCGGCATACCCGAGCCCCATTCATCTGCTGAACCTATCCCTGGCGGCCCTGCTACTCAGCAAGAAATTGACAATGCCTTTTCTCGTTTTGACCAAGGCCCAATGGAAGAGATGCCTGCTTTCGTTCCTGATGATAGCGATGAAGATGCCGCTGTGGCTCCATCTGTTCCCCGACGACCAGTTCAACAGGCCAACCCAAGGACACCAACT